GTAGCGGAGCCCTCAATTTAGCTACTTTGACTTGAGGTGGGTGGGAGCGCAACATTGGCAGTGGAGCTTTTGTAGCCTGGTAGCTGAGGTTTAAGTGGATTCAAATGCCACCAATTTGGATCCACATGCCACCAATGTAACTTTCCACCAAGAACAGATGGCTGAACAAGGGAGGCTTCACGCCGGCGCAACTTGTCTTTGGAGAACTCCCAAGGATACCCGGTGAGCTTTTGGCTGAAGATGAGCTTGGACTACATGGCCTGCATGATGCTCATGAAGACCCAGCTGAGGTCGATGAGGCCGCTGGTGAGTATCGGAGGAGGCATCAGATTCGTGAACGAGCTCGACAACTGGCCATGACGCAGTCCAGCCGGGAAGCTATTCGCCGCTCTCGGCATGCAGCTCAACAGCAGCGGCATTGGGCTCCAGGTCAATGGGTATATGTCTTTCGTCGAGCCCGAGGCAACCAAGACCTCCATCTCCGAGATCGCTGGGTCGGACCTGGCGTGGTGGTGGTGTCAAACAACGACACGGTCTACGTCGGCATGAGGACCAGGCTATGGCGATGTTCTCCTGGCCAACTTCGGGCGGCTCTTCCAAGTGAGGTGTTGGGTCGAGAACTGGCCACCAGCCCGGGGCTGAGCGAACTCCTACGGCAGGTGATCTCCGGCACTCATGCAGGAGCCGTGGATGTACAACGTGAGGGACTCCCTGGACCCGAGAACATGCTGGGCCCAGTTCAGCGCACTGAAGATGGAGTTGCCGTGGCGCCCGGTTCTCGCCCTCTCTCCGAAGCAGATCGACCGAGGCCACCTGACCGTCCCGTGCCGCCTATTGAATCTGTTCCGCCAGGTCTTCTACCTCTTGGTCATCCTCGAGAAGACCGACTGGCCAGCATCGCTGAGGAAGAGGAGCAACGACCTGCTGGTCCCGCTGCTGACGGACTACCTCAACAGTTCAGAAGAAGCTCAGTGAATGAACCTGCATCAGAGCCAAGTGAGCATCCTCCTGAACCGGGGCCAGATCCTTCGGCCCCATCAGACCACTCAAGTGTGCCGACTGAGCCTCCGCTGAAGATGGTGAGGACAACATCACCAGAACATCCCATGGAAGGGGACCTCTCTTCTTCTTCTCAAGCCCCTGCAGCCACAACGGGTGCTGATCCTCAGTCGGGAACTCGGGCTCCTGGAACACCTATAGCAGATCTGATGAGAAGGATTCCTCGTGCCGTGTCTCCTCCACGTGGACTTGTTGAAGCGCCAGAGCCAACCCATCTTACTCCTGTCGAGTCGCTCCCTCAGCAAAACAGAGTTCCTACCCAGGTAGAGGAGTTCAATCGGCTGGCACAACGCCGTGATCAAGATCGACGTGATGATCCGGATCTATGGCGCGAGCAGTGGTTCCAGTTCAACCAGGAAGAGTCCGTCCTGTGCCTGGAGCATTCAGGAGAATGGGTGCAGATGCCTATAGGAGAGAGGTGGCGAGATCTCATTGAAGGAGATGACCCAGGAGGAGATCGAGAAGTCCGACGAGGTGGAGTGGTCAGCCGTGCTGGGCACCGGCGCTGTGAAGGTGATCATTGGGAAGACAGCATCAAAGGCCCGAGAAGATTGGCCTGACCGGATCATTTCATCTCGGATGGTTCGGAGAAAGAAACCGCAGCCGGAGCTCAACGCTTGGAAAGGCAAAAGCCGATGGTGCATTCATGGACACCATGATCCTGACACTGGCACACTATGCACCTACAGTCCCACACCATCAACGGAGGGACTGATGACCTTCCTCCAGACCGGTCTCAACTTTGGTATGAAGTTCGCCTTCTCAGATGTCAAGAATGCTTTCTGCCAAAGCGACAAGCTCAATCGTCCTCGAGGACCTCTGTATGCCGAGCCTTGTGAAGGACTCCATCTACCAGCAGGAGCACTCATCGAGATCCTGGTGCCCACCTCTGGCTTGGATGATGCGCCTCGCGAATGGCGTCTGACGGTGACTCGCTTCCTTACCTCCCTGTCATTCGAGAGGAACCTAGTCGAGCCCTGCTGGTACACCCTGTTCTCTGACAAGAAGGAGTGTATCGCACAAGTGCTAATAGAGGTGGATGACTTCATCGTGTGCGCTGCTCCCGACCGCTATGAGTGGCTGAAGAAGCAACTCACCAGCCGGTTCCACTTCGGCAAATGGGAAGAGGACGAGGCCGAGTATGCCGGTCGCCATGTTCGAGTGACGCCCGAGGCCATCTATGTGGACCAACCACAAGGACGGGTTAACTTAGCTCATGTTGTTTTGTTTACAAATCATACATATTCTACTTACCGTGAACTTATCTCGTGAGATTTAAGCTGATTTATAAGTTGACTTATAAGTTAGTGTAAGTTTGACAAGCGTTTTTTGGAAAAGTTTGTTTTTGCAAGTTTTTTTGATTTTCACGTTTTTCAAGTTTTCTAGGTTTTTGTCTCAATAATTTTGTATCATTTTCAAAAAAACCTATATTTTTGCGCATTTTTGGAATGGCGTCAGAAAACCTTTGTTTTCTATAGTATACAGCGGGCACACCGCCACGTCTTCAACCTTCTGCTATTGAATGAACGCTCTATACCACATGCCAAGACTGAAGTATTGGTTGCTACATATGCCACAAGCAATCCTACAGCGGAGGAACCGCCAACAATCCTACAGCGGAGGTATACCGCCGAATTGAACCTACAGCGGAGACACCGCCCAACAAGACAGCAAGACCTACAGCGGACGCACCGCCTCCACAGGAAGAATCTGTCACAGGAAGATGTCTGAGTCTATATACATTATATATATATGTATTAACATATGTAAATATTTGTGCTCCACAGGAAGTACACCGTTTTTCGAAAATTGACTTGGACCCTCCATCCCAAAAAAGACCCGACTACATCTGACTACACCCCGACTACATTCTGACTACATACGTCATCAGAACGAAGTCAGGCCC